TATCAGTTTCACTGAGCCAAAAACCTCCATACATTGTTCACTTCTTCGCTCAACTAAATCTGAATACAGGATTATACTGTAACCATGTACCGGTTTTTATTGTCTGGGTTATCTGATACTTGAATAAACTAAACCAATTAATGCTATCTAGCTACTACACCTCTCAAAAAGATCATAATAATAACTGCGGTCAGTATAACAGTGACAGAATTATGCACAATAATCAAATTGTTGTTCACTACACAGCAATTATTGTGTAACATATTGAAATTGTCTACTTTGTTCAGAATGTGCTTTTTATTCATAATATATTTTCAGTTCAGGCTAATATAATATATTAAGTTCAGGCGTAATGACACTTTAATGTTCTAATATTGATCTGTATACATATCCATACTGAAGTTGTCAGTTAGACTAGGAAGTATATTCACAATCACAGGCATTACCTGTGCTGCCTATAAATATCTTGCGCGCTATATTTGTACATTATGTGTAAATAGCCAACACTTTTATATGGGACACATATGTGAGGGTTTGCGCTGAGCTGTTCGCATTACATAAGACGTATCGCTAACGCTGTTTATACATATTTAGAGTTTATGCATATCGGGGGTCAGTAAAACAGCAGTATATGGTTGCGCTCCAACAATAAAAGCACATTCAACTAGAAAGAACATCAAATATATATACGTCAATATATATATAAACCTGACCTCGTGAACAGCATCGACAATTAATTTATATATATAATATGTAATAACAAAGACTACTGAACTTGAGAATGCATAATGATTTCAAGCATAACCGAGTTTATCATTATACAGTTTTGAGTCACTTCTCTCTCCTACCAAATTCAATGACTTTCAGAAAAGGAAAAGCATACTCACCAACTGGGGTTCTGTTTTCTGTTAACATGTAGACTATTCATGTAAATACTGTCGCTATGGAATAAGCTGGAAATGAATGCAACTCAAGCAGAGGCAGACTTATTTAGACACAAGACTGGAGCGCAATGGGCTGTATCACTTACCCGCTGAAGGTCAGAAAGTACAAAGTTGGGACGTAGTTTTTGGAAAGGAGCTGCAACTGTGCAGTCTTAAAATCAACCTGGTATCAGTTCCCTCTACAGTCGTATGGAAGCGAAACTGCAAAAGAGCACCGTTTACAACTTCTCGATCATTTTAACAGAACTCACTCTCCCCTGTGTGATGTGCGATTTGTTTTCTGACTGCGATGTGTGATGTGACAGCGCTGTACACCAGTCACCTGTGTGACAGCCGAAGCCACCAATCACAGCGCTCACAGAGCATTGTGGGAAATGTAGTTAAGCTTCATGTAAACGTTTAAGAATGAAAAAAGGTCGATTTTTATAGATGCTATAGATTCTTCATATAGATTCTAACAGTTTTAAGTAGTTGCATATAGTTTAGACCTTGTCAAAAGGTATACACTTGTAGACACATTTTGTATGTGCTTTTGTATTTTATATTACCTTAATATGAACTTTTATGTGCAGTTACATTTAGCTATTTTACAGTGTTGGGTCCGAGTCCACCTTGTCGAGTCCTAGTTTTTAATAAATTGTGTTTAAGTGGGAGACGTTTATTAATGTCTTTTTATATTAATTTTATGTTGTTACTTTTTTTATTTAATTTTATATTACACATGACATGGATTCGTCTGTACTCTAAAAAATTTCTGCGTCCAAAATATCCAAGTCCGAGTCCAACTGAGTCCACCAGAGTCCGTCCAAGTCCAAGTTCATTCACAACTGTAGTCTGAGTCCAAGTACCCCAACTCTGCAGTATTTTATGCCAATTAGCATAACACAATTAAATAATTATCCTTAGTTTAAGGTCATATGTTTTTATTATAATCTTATTTCCAAAATTAAGGGATAATATCCAATCAATCGGTTACTATTGCAAAATAAATCATTGTGTAAAAAGCAGAAGCAAAGCCACTGACTATATATATGTGACCATGGACCACAAAACCAGTCATAAGGGTCAATTTTTTTTTATTGAGATTTATACATCATATTAAAGCTGAATAAATAAACTTTCAATTGATGTATGAAAAATAGTCAAAAAGAATGAGAAAAGTCGTAAAAATGAAGTCCTTAGCAATGCATATTACTAGACAGAAATTAAGTTTTGATATATTTACGGTAGGAAATTTACAAAATATCTTCATGGAACATGATCTTTACTTAATATCCTAATGATTTTTGGCATAAAAGAAAAATCAATAATTTTGACCCATGCAACGTATTGTTGGCTATTGCTACAAATATACCCGTGCGACTTAAGACTGGTTTTGTGCTCCAGGGTCACACTTATAAGTGAATTAATGAAAGAAAAGGTTTTAATAATTGGACATGAAGCAGCGTTCTGACCAACGTTACAATGTTATGTCTATTACGTGATCACGTCTAGCGGTAATTGTGCGCGATGACGTAAAGTAACGTAGCCATGCACAGCAAAGAGCGCCAGAGGCAGACTTATTTAGACACAAGACTGGAGCGCAATGGGCTGTATCACTTACCCGCTGAAGGTCAGAAAGTACAAAGTTGGGACGTAGTTTTTGGAAAGGAGCTGCAACTGTGCAGTCTTAAAATCAACCTGGTATCAGTTCCCTCTACAGTCGTATGGAAGCGAAACTGCAAAAGAGCACCGTTTACAACTTCTCGATCATTTTAACAGAACTCACTCTCCCCTGTGTGATGTGCGATTTGTTTTCTGACTGCGATGTGTGATGTGACAGCGCTGTACACCAGTCACCTGTGTGACAGCCGAAGCCACCAATCACAGCGCTCACAGAGCATTGTGGGAAATGTAGTTAAGCTTCATGTAAACGTTTAAGAATGAAAAAAGGTCGATTTTTATAGATGCTATAGATTCTTCATATAGATTCTAACAGTTTTAAGTAGTTGCATATAGTTTAGACCTTGTCAAAAGGTATACACTTGTAGACACATTTTGTATGTGCTTTTGTATTTTATATTACCTTAATATGAACTTTTATGTGCAGTTACATTTAGCTATTTTACAGTGTTGGGTCCGAGTCCACCTTGTCGAGTCCTAGTTTTTAATAAATTGTGTTTAAGTGGGAGACGTTTATTAATGTCTTTTTATATTAATTTTATGTTGTTACTTTTTTTATTTAATTTTATATTACACATGACATGGATTCGTCTGTACTCTAAAAAATTTCTGCGTCCAAAATATCCAAGTCCGAGTCCAACTGAGTCCACCAGAGTCCGTCCAAGTCCAAGTTCATTCACAACTGTAGTCTGAGTCCAAGTACCCCAACTCTGCAGTATTTTATGCCAATTAGCATAACACAATTAAATAATTATCCTTAGTTTAAGGTCATATGTTTTTATTATAATCTTATTTCCAAAATTAAGGGATAATATCCAATCAATCGGTTACTATTGCAAAATAAATCATTGTGTAAAAAGCAGAAGCAAAGCCACTGACTATATATATGTGACCATGGACCACAAAACCAGTCATAAGGGTCAATTTTTTTTTATTGAGATTTATACATCATATTAAAGCTGAATAAATAAACTTTCAATTGATGTATGAAAAATAGTCAAAAAGAATGAGAAAAGTCGTAAAAATGAAGTCCTTAGCAATGCATATTACTAGACAGAAATTAAGTTTTGATATATTTACGGTAGGAAATTTACAAAATATCTTCATGGAACATGATCTTTACTTAATATCCTAATGATTTTTGGCATAAAAGAAAAATCAATAATTTTGACCCATGCAACGTATTGTTGGCTATTGCTACAAATATACCCGTGCGACTTAAGACTGGTTTTGTGGTCCAAGGTCACATATTATCTCAACAATTGCACAGATCTCTTGAACACTGATTGGTCAGTCACAGTATTCAGTGGTTAAGCATTCCTTTTATGCACTGCTGTTCTTCTTTCCAAAAAAGTATATAATCATACGTGTATTTTTAATAAATAAGTTCAGTGGCATTACAACCAAAGACAATCTACATGATCTGAATTTAAAATAATAATAATAAAAAATCTATTGCAATTGCAGATTTTCAGTGGTTGGGTTCAGTTGTTGTTTCAGATTGGCCCACAGGGTGTCAGTATTGATCCTATTCTTTCCCATACAGGACAGAACCACACAAAAACACTGATTATGGTGTGTATTTTTTAATAAAGTGAAACATCAGTGCCTTCGTTTTCCATTCTAAAACAAAACGCAAGCTTCAAATGAAAAAGAAACATAGAATTTACTTCACAAAAGCACAACTTCTGGATTTGATTGTAATAAGGAAATAAATGTTGACTTTGGATTTTATAGATTTAATAACTTCTCTTGATCAAACAATAACAATCTCTTAACCAAAGACACTTTAATATCTACAACACCTAGAAACGCCCTTGCCAATGCCGTCAATTAGACACGATTTAACTAGGCAAACATGCACAGTAGCAAAGCTGAACTCAGAATGGCCTCCACAGAAAGCACCGAATACATAAAATCTTAGCTTTTGTCCCTAAACCTAACACCAAGCTAAAGGTATTCAACATGGGTAACACTACACCTCTCTAGAGCTGACCTGCCTTAATAGATCATTTGTTTGTTTGTTTTTTTCCCTTTTTGATAGATTGAATGGTCATCCAGTTTACCAATTTATAAATTTTCAGAGAGACAGAATAAGAAATCTACAGTTAAGGTGAATCTTGGGAATGCTATTGAAGAAAAAAACAAAAATCAACAACTGACTATTAACATATGATTCAAGATTAGAGTCATGCAAACCCTACTATGCAAGTTTTATAACTCAATGCTGATTTTTCTAAACCATACTCAAGGGGCAAAAAAGTATACCATGTACTGGGGTAGATGCCATACTTAATTTGAAAAGACTTTTGCTATAAAAACTGAGGGCGACAAGCAGAGTCTGTTAAGAGGGTCACATTGTTGTGAATTAGGAATTTGATCATTCAGGAATTGACTTCGAACTTGTGTACTTCTATCGTGCAGCCACTTTGTTTGAATTTTTATCAAATTTAATATGGCAAGTACCCAGACTATTAAAGTCAATTGCCACATACATTGTCATGACACCTTGAGTTTGGACTACAGATCAGCACACTATAAATAGCAGCACACTAAGTGCAACAAGTAAAATTCAGCAGAAAAAAAGACTGCCAAGCCAGGACTTTAGGGTTGGTTGAAACAGGCCTCAATTGTCTTCTGCAATGTTTTTGTAACTGAGAAGATTGGAGTTCAGTCTAATTATATGAGGATGTGGGGTACTGAGGGTGCCACCAGTCCATGAGGCGCACGCTGTGGACAGGGTCCAGCACTACCTGCACCCCTTGTTCACCCCTAAACTTCTTCCCTCGAATGACTGGTGAATCCTGGAAATCCAGGCGCACTCGGTGGTGCCTCATGTCTGTGCTCACATTAATGGTGAACTGAAAGACAAGGAGCGAATGATTCATTGGCATTTATGACATCAGCATGACTTGCATTTGCACTGTAAGTAAAACCTTCAACAAAAAGAAATGTGGAAACTTCAGCTTGGTCTAGACCACTATCATTAGATGACTTCCACGTTCTAAAAAGAACACAATGCTGAAGTTTCTAAGGCTATAAATTTAGCACTACAAATTTCAAGTGACAGCCAGCACAAAGCAAAAATGTACTAAAATCTGAAATACACTACACAACTTTTGAAATCTGGACAGATTTTCAAACACTAGGCATCATACATTTGCTCACTTTGTAAACGGTTACAGAGGAAAAACTGGGTGTCATACACTAAACAACATAGCATCAAATTCTGTTAGACTTTAAAGTTGTTCTGAAAAAATTCACACTCCTCGTCGAGAAATGAAAACATGTCGCAAAATCAGTTAAATATCAAACTTACTTGAAATTCTTCAACTGGAATCAAAAACTGAAGATTAAAGGGGTCATATGATGCTATTTTAAAGATCATTATTTTAGACCTGATGATTAGAAATCCAGCAGCAGGATTACACGTTATCCTCCTGTAATTCAACAATGTAAAAATATTATGTGAAACGAATTCTCTCATCACTCACCAAAGTTAACGTCATGCCCATCACAACAGAAGTGAAAATGAAATTGAGGGTAGTGACCCGCAGCAGATAACAGTCCGAGTCTGGATTAGTGTGAACATCTTTATACTGCTTGGGCAGCTGAAGACTCAAACCACATCCGTTTTTGCCCTTGGTTGGCTGAAAAAGAAAATCCGACAGAATTAAAGCAATTAAATCTCATATTCTACTTTTATGACAATGTAGTGAACATACCAGTTTCACAAACTTGAAGTTGAACTCCCACATCAGCTCTGACCTACTTCCAGAAACTTTGTTGACCCAACACAACAAACACTGTGGGAACAAGAAAGGCATCAACACAATAATCTTCACATTAAACATATTTAAATAAGAGCGTATGTCTACAAACCTTGGAATTGAGGAGTGTGGTAGGTGTAGATTCAGGGAGAGGAGGGCTTTTGGACACCCGCAAGCTAAAGGGCTCATATAAGTGAAAAAGCGAGCGAATAACACGCGCACGAAGACAACGCATCTTTGCAACAGAATCAGGTTGAAGGCGATCGGGGAGGTCTGCATCAAGATTATAGTGCCTGGGGAGAAAAAAAAAAAAGATAATTCAAAATAAATATTGAAATAAAAATCAAGAGGAATACTGTCATGCATAAATACCCTTATTTAACACAGGGATGTCCAGTGGAGTGCAATAGTGCCTGCCCACTGTTATAAAAAGCCCCACAATACATTTAATACCACGTTTTGGCTGCCTACCTTTTGTAGAGTCGTGTCCAAAATGCAGCTGTGCATGTGGCAGTCCAAGCATTCTTGCAGATCAAGGAGAATCTGCAGACGTCTTCTGGCCGAATGTATGCAGCAAGCAGAAGCCAAATATCAATGGGATACTCCACTCCATCTATGCTCTCACTGTTTTCTGGCATTCATAATGACAGGAGTTACTCAAAAGCTCAAAAAAAATAACAACATCAGAACACATCAGAATTAGGGTTGGGAATCGAAAATCGATTCCAGTATCGGATACTTAGGGTCAGGAATCGGATACTTGTTGTCAAATTAAAATTTCGATTCCTAGGCACTTTTTTTTCTTGATCTGTGAGGACCGGACCTAGCGATCTGCCAGGACCTTGCTCGCTAATCTAAGCTCTCCAAAGTTTGGCTACATTTGCAATCAGAAGCCAAAAAAGCTAAGTATAATATCTGTGATAGCTAAACATGTTGCAAGAGAGGTGTGTCACCACCAACATGACAAAGCACTTTAATTTAATAGATCGATCGAACAGAAGTTCGCGAACACGATTCAAACACCAACGTGATTCTATTCCTAAATTACAATGATTCGTCTGTTTCATTCCTCAACCTTTGACGTGTGCGATCAATGTTGTGATCACTTGGTTCGTCCGTGCAGCGTACTATCACACCAGTGTGATTTGAACATTTAAATTTGCGCTCGTGCTGCCATTGACCTAAAGAGAGCAGCTGTCTGTCATGAATGAAACAGCTTTTCAGTCACACAGTATCATTATTTCTGTGTTACAAACATTCAAATCACAGAAGTACTGGGATAAAAGTTTATAGTTCAGATATAAACTCTGATGTGTACGGTAGCGATTAAAATAGAGTAAATCACCTTTTGAAACTAATTTGACACTTCAAATGAAGATTTATTGATTACATTGTTGTGCCAGTAGGTGGCGAAAAGGGGCTGTTAAAATGTATTTGTCTTTGAATCATACAAGAGATTCGTTCAAGAACGCTGATTCATCCAGTAAGGAAACAAGTACATCTTGAGTGAGTCATTGAATCATTTATTCATAAATTACATGATTTTGTTTAGTTGTCTATTTTTTATTGTCTAATTTATCCAGAATCATGCAGTTCTATTTTGCACACAAACAGCTCTTAAAGAGTCCAGTTTTTATGTAGCCTGTTGATTTTTGTTCATGGTATTCAGCTCCAATAAATGGTTTGCAAAAAAGAGACACAGGATAAAAATGCTTGATATCATTATTTAATCACATTGGAATTGAAACTGGGAATCGAAAAGAATCGGAATCGGGATTGATAAAATTCAAACGATACCCAACCCTAATCAGAACAGAGATTCCCAAACCTTTTAGTCAGTCAAAACCCTTTGACCTAAAATATTTACTTGAAGGACCCATTGAGATTAAGTTAACACTTCAATTTAACACATTTGCACATTCACTGATAATGGTCAAATGGCATGCCGGTAAACAAATTAATTTTTTTTTTTTAGAAAATGTTTTGTTTGTATTTTAATTGAACCCCAGTTTGGGAAATCCTGCATTAGAAAACTTACTGGGCCAAATGCTCTGCAGTTACCTTCACGTCTTTTGTTTTTCTTTTTGCGGGACCCTTTGATTTCATCCCCTTCCTCTGAGTCTAGTTCATCACTGCTCTCACGGGCTGTATTACTCACACCAGCTGCAGAGGAGAGCACTTCCTGCACAGGACCCTGGGATGCCTCTAGTCCACAGAGTAATTTCACTGAAACAGAATAAAGATCAGAGTAGATTTTTTTAAATTATTATTTTAAAGTGTCAAATGTCTTAAAAGAAACGTATTCTCAACATACTGGTTAAAATCATCCTCTAAATAGACTGAACCAAGGCCTGTTCAGGCCTGCTTATGAAGATTTATGTTTAATCAAACACACCTGAATCAGCTAATTAAAGGTGTTTGGGGTCATTGTAAAGTACAAGCAAGAGTTTGAGAGCTGAACTAAACTGAGGAGCTCCAGAAGCAGTCTAATCTGCAGTCTAATTCAGGGCTTCATATAATTTGACATGAAAAGTTACACTTATGACAAAAAGGCTTTTAACTCATAGTTCTGATTCAATATGCTAGAATTATGACTTTTTATTTCATAATTTACCACATAATTTCTTTCGTTATTATGGGGAGGAAATGAGGTCTCATACATCATATTTCTGATTTTACCTTCTTTTTCAATTGCATTAACAACAGCCTTTTTAACTCTTCCCGACTTTACGATGGCGGGATCGGCGTTGGCATAGTCAGCCACAGTTACTGTAAGAAAATATGAAGGAACACAAGAAATCAAGAGAATGGACTTTGGCTATTATCCGCAACACACATAATAACATAAACCCGCCTCACTGTGTTGTTACCTGACTCCGAGCAAACATCCTCCGCTCTAAATTTCAGCCGTTTTCGGTTCCCTTTCTTGGGCATGACGACAGCGGGGGTCTATGGCCGTTTATCGAGGCTGTGTGCCCTGCCATCTTTCCAGCAGAGGTAACGAAAAAACGATAAAAATGAGGGTGAAATTAAAGAAAGCTCCTCCGGTATCTTCAGCCATCATGGAACTGACGAACAAAGTCGCGTACATTCTCGCGAGATCTCAGAAAGCACACGACTCACCAGACTGGACGCTAATTGGACGCAGAAATCATATGTGAGAAGAATTGTCCAATCAGACGGTGTATATTCATAACCTCAGGCTTCAGAGAAAAAAAAAATTGTTACGATAAACCATGACGTAATCTCAGCTGTTTCTTTTTTTAACGTTTAAAGTGTCTTGAAGTACCATAAATTGTGCAAATAAATATAATGGAGAATCTCTTTAAACAATGAAAAGACTACTGAACCTCGAGAAAAGTAATTTTTGCATGAAGTTAGAATGGAATCCTTTTAGATTCTTTATTTCTTATAAAATTCATCAGATACATTTCTTTATAAGGTATAGGCTGTTTTAAGCACATTTGAAAAAAAAAAAAAAAACTGTTTGTTTTACATAAAGGAATCAGAAACATTGGGAAACATTTTTTTTCATTAAAAATATTGGTTTTATCTATTTTTCTCTTTTTTTTCTGTTTTCTCAGAGTTGTCTTTTGTATTTATTTATTAATTTATTAATTTACTTATTTTACTTGATATATTTCCTCTGGTCATGAAAATATTAGCTTCAGAGAACTTCCATCTACATAAAAGCAAATGTGACTAAATGTTTTTTATGTCTTTTATTAAAGTGAGTAAAACAATACTGAAAAATACAACAAAGTTGAATAACATTTAAGAATAATAGAAATATAAGATTTCCTAATATTGAGATTTTTTGTGGGGTTTTCATTAAAAAGTATATATATATATATATATATATATATACTATGCAATTTAAATTTTTATATACATTTTTTATTTAAATTTTAATGTATTATTTTAATTTTTTTGAATGTTGATTGATTTTTAAATACATTGATTAATTAGTTGATTATTAAATAAAGTAAAACTTTTTGGTTTTCTGTTAAATGAAAACTTTCAGTTTTCGGTGTTTCAATAAAAAAGTGATTTCAGCACATCATTAGAAACATCATAGAGAAAGAGTATGAAACATACAACCAAGTGCCATTCACGATGTAATTAATGCAGGAAAGAAGACCAATCATAGTTCACTGTGTGGCTCATTTTGGAACATCATCTTTATTATTCTCATAGGAGCATCGGGACGAGTACCTGACCTCCATCCCACAGGAGGTCTGCCTCTCGTTTGTCAAAATCATCATGATATGTCCGTGGTTTCTATGAACCTGCCTGCCGCCAGAGGGCGCTGCGTGTGACACCATTTCTCACACGGCGTCTCGTGCATGACAGTCATGTAGTCGCGTGGTGCTGATGTGAGGAACTCCGATTTTACGCTGTTTGAAGAGCTTTACAGAGCCACGCCGGGTGGATATGCTTTTCGCCGACGACGAGGGAGACGTTTAATCTTCACATCCACCAAAGCGTCGGTGCATTCATATTTTAAAACATGCGCGAATGTTTGTGGAGATAGCGGAATAGCTGTGTTGCAAGCTAGAATGAGCTCGTAGAGGGAGGAGCGCTTCGCTCGGCTCGCCGTGCAAGGAGATGATGATGATGGTGGTGGTGGTGGCAGAGGGATCTGGAGGATGCGGCAGACGCGAATTTCACCGTTTTCTGAAAGGTTAATGGCAACTGGTGGATGTTAAAGCGAAGGGCGCCGAGGTTCAATCAGCTGAAATCGGAATATGCGTGGCGAGCGCTGTAATGAGCGTCCAGCGAAATGCATTGAGTTCCAAGTCAAACTAGGTGGATAATGTCAGAGCGGAAAAGGCCGACAATCATGGACCAGAGAGGTCAAGGTGTGTGAAGAATCTAGACAGACATGCAATTAGTGAAATTAGAGAATGCATATGCATTTTAAATTACATGGACATGTTTAATGTGCATATAAATGGCATTAAATATTGGTAGTGCACCTCAAACCTGAATAAAAAAAAAATCAAGAGCAATTTCTAATTTGACTTAGACTTCATAGAACACCGAGCAATATGATGTGTGAAGTGATGCCAACCATAAATGAGGGGGACTCGGTGAGTTCCCAGAGAGGCTCTCAGAACGGCACGGATGCCGAGTCTAATTTTGAACAGCTGATGGTGAATATGTTGGATGAGAGAGATAAGCTGCTGGAGTCTTTACGGGAGACACAGGAGACCCTCATCCAGTCGCAGACCAAACTCCAGGATGTGCTTCACGAGAGAGATGTGCTTCAGAGACAGCTCAACTCCGCGCTACCACAGGTAAACTCGCATACCTGACACAGGTACACGGGAAGTTGCGTCATGACTTACTGTGGTAATCATAGTTAACGATAAAATGTCCGTTTTCCTGTAAAACCTTAGAAAATAACTATTAGAAACAGTGCTAGAATCTAATTGAATGCCCCTTTTAATAACAGCTGAAGTCTGACAGTAGATTAAATTTCCAAAGTCTAACTGTGACTGGTATTTTGAAAGAAAAAAAAGTTATTTTCAGCCAATTTATTTGTTCAAAGACCCTTGAAAAACATGATATCGCATAAGTAGTGTTTTCTACGGTGGCCGAGAGAGCTCAACGCTCTGCAAATGAAAAAAAAAACCCCCACATGCAAATAGAAAAAAAACACCTGCAAATTAAGAAAACATCTTCATCAATTTGACAACACACACGCTGCAAATGCTCACAACACAACCAAATAAAGAAACGTGCTGAAAATACTCACAACTAGGGATGTTCATTTTAACCGGTTAACCGACCGTAAGAATTTTGACCGATTAATACAATCAGTTAAACGGTTTAAAAAATCATTTAATTATTTAATTTTTCAGTAATTTAACAAAATATTTAAAAAGGTTTGCTGCATGGTTAAAATACGCTACGCGTATATAAAAAATGTTTTTTTTTAGGGGGAAAAAACATAAGAAGTAAGTCACATTTTATTATTTCATTCAGAAAATAGCCCTAATGCCGACGCGAAATGTTTACAAACATTATAATAAACACTGTGAACATAGCTAGGCGATTTTAGTTCCCCTCACTCCACAAAAAATTATTTCAATTAACAGTATTTAGAAAAGAACAAGAATTAAAAATATAAGAAGCTATAGCAATATAAATGACAAACCAAAACGAAATCACTTAGGTTAAAACGAAACTGAAACCAACGTCGGGTCTCTCATTCCACACAAAATCAAATGTTTCCATATTCGCGATGTATTTACCAAAATATTATTTATTATGTAGCCTACTTCACTCGCGTTCCAATATCCACGTAAAACAAAATGTTTTGCATAACATCATTCACAATGGCAAATTATTATTTATTATGTACTTCACTCGCGTTCCAATATATCCACTTAAAACAAAATGTGTTGCATAACATCACGGAGGTACTGTGATAACACTTAACGGCACAGATTTTACTACATAGTTTTTTTACTACATAGTTTTGTTTCCATATGTTTGACTGACTGTATTTTATTATGATAATGAACAGGCTGCATTGTCAAGGTAGCAAAGATTAGGCGCCAGCGCGCATGCGGCGCCGGCGCAATCACTTGAGTTTTTCCTTCTAACAGTGGAAGGAACTACTCCTTTTAGTCATAAAGATAACTGCTTTCTGCCGTCTGTTTCCTTTTGCGCAGCACAAAAACGAACCGAAACTCTGCATACTAGGCTACTTGTTGCACAGTTTTTCTTTCATTTTCTTAATTTATTATTTAAGTAAAAATATTTTTAAAATATAAAGTAAAGTTAATTTTTAAAGTTAACCCTCTACGGCCCACTGTTGTAATATTACAACATCAGTTTTAGCTGTAGTTAAATAAACCTGCACATTTTTTTTACACAACTAATAGGTCGAATTGTTCAGTCTTGTAATGCTATTGGATGGTAGATTTTGTAAAAAAAAAAAAAAAAAGCTAAATTGAATTGAAGTTATGGCACTCATGACCCTTTCTACAGTATAGCAGGAATACAAAATGATATTAAATTATTACAATTTTTAATTATTTTAAATTATTTAAAAAAAATTGGACAAAATTCTAGCGTTGACTGCATTCATCAAGCTCAACCATTCCACTCTGTTATTATATTATTGCAAGACAGTACTATTGTATTTTTTCTAATTGATGAAAGTAAGTAAATCATTAATCATTAATAAATTAATAATTTTTTTAAATTTGCCTGTGCACCTTGAACATTACATGGATGAATTCTTCTCAGCTGCTCTATGTGGGAAAAATAGTAACAGAAACACAGAACATTGTTTTGATCATTCACAATTTTTAAACAGCCTCTCTAGTATATCGATATATGTTATGGGTCTACATAAGCTGTACACCCCGCAAATATACCCTTAGATGTCCTTTACATTTGTTTAGACAGAGAGTGAAATCTGTTACCCAAAGGCCCAACGTTGCAGTATTACAACATTTCCCTAAAAACTTCCTAAACTGTAAAAAATGCAAAAACCTATTTATTTCTACATTAGAGGCCTCTAAAAACGACACGTAAAAGGCGAAAAAACAATTCACTGTGTTTTTCTCTCCTTGGGTCTTTGAGGGTTAAGTTAAAGTTAAAAAAAGTTAAAGTATAAAGTAAATAATGCTCACAACACAAGCAAATAAAGAAACGCGCTGCAAATGCTCACAACACAAGCAAATAAAGAAACACGCTGCAAATAGGCACAGACCACATCGGAAATGTTTAAGGGAACGCAAAGTGACGAACATGGCTGGGACATATTTATCAATGTTTGCTCTGAAAGGTGAGATTTTTTTTATTTTAACATCCTGATCATACAATTTCTTTGCTTCTTCTTCTTTTTTTTGAAATTATTAGCCTAAATAAGCTGATGAAATACACAATTACTGTAACTGTGAAAGCATGTAAGCTGGCTAACTTACTTTGCAACTTCCCTTACAAAAATTAACCATATGGTTTTACTATTAAAATTAATTAATTAATAAATACATTTATTTTGTAAAAAATAAATAAAAACAAAAAATGTTTACTATAGTTAAAACATGGTCACAAATTAACCATGGATTTACTACACTAACCATAGTTTAACCATGGTATTTGTACAACCGTGGTTATACAAATGGTAGCTAATCAATACAAAAAAACATGGTTAATTTTCGTTTTGTTGGGGTAATTTTGGCATTGTTGGGGTCCTCCCGTTGTGGTCTGTACTTGCATTTCTGTATTTAGCTGTGTTGTGTTGTGAGCATTTGCGGCGTGTTCCTGTTTTTGCAGCGCATTTCTTTGTTTGTGTTGTGAGCATTTGCAGCGTGTTTTTGTATTTGATTGTGTTGCGAGTATTTGCAGCACATGTGCTGTCAAACTGATGAAGATGTTTTCTTAATTTGCTGGTGCTTTTTCTATTTGCATGTGTTTTCTGAAGTTGCAGCGCATTGAGCTCTCTCGGCCACCTTAGTTTTCTTTCTTTGTATGTCTATCTTTATGTTTATGTATTTTTGCTACCAAATTGAGCGCAACATCGCCCGTCTGCCTTGGTTGTGGAAGTATTTTTTTTTTTAATTACATGCCAAACATATGAGGTAAATCACATTGTTACAAACTTTAAATTGAAACAAAAAAAGTGGGAAAAAATTCCCATTAAGTAAGCCTATTTTGAATGGTGTAATCATTGCATGCATATTACGTCTAAGTCGTTGACAGTGCTTCATCTGAGTGGATGGGCACAATTTGTTAATTGGTGGAAATTTCTTTGCAGAATCTTGTGTAATGTAGTTAAATAATGTAGTGAAATGCAGGCTGATGGATGTAACAAATGCATATACACCATCGAATTGCAACCTCGTAGCTCTCAGTTGGTCTGTCTTCAACAGTTTATGTTATTGTCAAATCCCCTAAAATGAATGGATTTTTACTTCTAGAACCTGACTTTTGCACTCTGTAAAATGTTGTCAATTTGTAGGTCAACTTGAAAAGCTAATGAGTGAGTGAATATAATGTGTGTGGTTAAAATGACTTGTGAATTTTGAAGCCGCTGTGTTTTTTAACAAGATGTTGCGAAATGTTTCAGTGTAGCCAACTGGATACGGCAATAAGAAAACCGAAGGCTTAAAGGTTTCCTCATTTCCTCATTGTTTCTGACTTAAGTAACCATTAATATGGTATTATGTGGAGGAAATGTTTAGCAAATGTGTAGTTATATAAACCAATTGTCCTCAGCAGAAATGTTTCCGGATTAGCTGTTTCGGCAAAAGAGCTAAAACTGATCTATCATTTATTTTGGGTTTAGTAGTTTCTAAGACCCACTCAATTATAAGGGATGCGTTGTGGTGCTGCTGGTGCCAGGTAAACACTTGTTTTCACAAAGGTTCATCATTTACTGGAATTTCCTGTGTCCCAGAAACGTCAGAGGTGGTAATTGTGCTTGCATCCCATTCAAATAATGGCAACAATGTTACAATTTAAAGAAAAGCCTTACATTTTTGCAAAATGCATATCAAAATTATTTACTTTTTTTCCTAGTGAGGTATATGCACCGTATGCACACACTCAGTGGTAGGTTAAGCTTTGGTTCAAAAAACAGTCTAGTGTCTCTTCTTCTGTATCATGTTGCTCTTTTTGGTCATTAACCAAGGACACAAGTGATATGTATCGATTCATCTGAGTATCCCGCCCTCATCCTTCCCCCTGTTCTGTCTCTAGAGTAAAATTGGACTTCCTCTCTTGCTGCTTGCATGTCTTGGACTGTTCAAAGCAAAATGCCTCCTTTCATCTGATGCTCTGAAGCATGTGAGACTGTTGCTAAGAGGACAATTCATCTAGTTTACAGTAGGGCTGGACAATAATTCAATATCAATATGTATCGCGATAGGTAGCACTTCCTTGACTTGGCAAGCTCTAATCTTATTGGCTGTCTTGATGCAATTTCTGGGAGTAAGGGCATGTAGGGTCTTTTTTTGTCTGTATGTCTGGAAACAAAGTCATGATGCATGCAGTGAATGCTTTTGAGGACGAAAAGCTAGAGAGGTTAGTAGCATCAATTCTTTGAAATATATTTGGAGTTTAGTTGAGGCACTTGGTACAGTAGGAAATCATATAGGCTATAGTAGATCGCATTGGCCGGTTGCACCAGCTGGACCTACACCCGGTTGTAATACTGGGCTGGACGTAAAATGCGCTTTAAAGGGATAGTTCACCCAAAAATGAAAATTAACCCATTATTTACTCACCCTCAAGCCATCCTTGGCGTATATGACTTCCTTCTTTCAGATGAATCCAA